TGTCCATTACATACCGGCTCGATGTGAGCGACCACAACACCGGGCGGTTGACTATACAGTGGACTCAATACGAATGGATTGATTAACAGCAAAACGATGGCAAACAGTGCGAGAGATATGTTATGCCAAACGCCGGCCGTAAAGATCTTCAATTGGTTCCAGACGTTCAGATTCAGGACCTGCTCTGTGGACAGGTTTACGAAAGCGCCCGGAATTATGATGAATAGGAAGACACCGAAGCTGTGAAGGCGTACCCCTTCCCTGTGGACATAGAGTAGAGATATTCCTCGTGAGTGACACTATTGAGCAAAATCACGAGACAATGCATACCTGAGCCCTGCCAACGCGTGTCCCGACTCGTGATATATACTACTTATGGCGAGAGTTATGAAATAGTAGACAAAGTCAGACATCGGAAGGTTAATGCCGGGGATCTAATGGACGCAAAGACACATAGATTAGACACTAAGACACGGATCAAACGCCGCCGACAACACCCACCACAGGATACAACGCCTGCCCACTGGCCAGCGCTCGGTTACCGCCGATGAGATAATTGGCGACCAATAGCTGGTACAGCGTCTGCAGCAGTATATACACGGATGGTATGATCGCGGCCAGTGTCACAACGGTTCCCACTGTGAACCACTTGTCCAGCAGTTTGGGCCGACATGTGCTCAGGAGATAGAAGACACGATTCAGTGATTGGGTGCACATCTGGATCTGAAGAGGTCTTATGGTGAGACCTAATGTCTGCAGGGTTTGGGCGAACTCGTAGCTGAACCACGTCTTCAGCACCACATTCATCACGTTTATGATGAGCCATACGACGGCTATTATGACGATTAGGTTGTAGTCCATGACGGGGCCGATCACCAGTGGATCCCATCGGTGATCGTAAACGGCTTCATAGTTACCACGAAATCAGTCATCGCTTGAAAATGTATTGAAAAATTTAATTTTGTTTTTGTTTTCGAGCCGTAAGTGTGAACACAGAGTATAATAACACATGTTATGGGGAAAGGTATGGTTTTATACATTTACTTATGGTATAAAACACATCAAAATAAGCTTCTATGCGATTAGCCGTGAGTTTACTGTATAATACACTCGTGCACAACATCTAGGGTTGACTGTATCGGTCGCACGCATGCGTTCATCACGTGATTTATGAACGGTTTGTACAGTAATTTGTGAATCAATTGTCAAATTAATGAACTTTTCAACGCTTTTCGCATTCAATCAGTCATTCATTCAGCGATTGTCTCACAAAACACTTTGCCATCACTTCTTGTACTCTTCACTCATCAGCTGATTATCGCGAAGAACTCGAGGATAACCAGAAAAAATCCGGAAACCGAGGACTTCTTGGACGCAATGGACACCAAACACGAGTCGAGGGCGCAGTTATCGGCGCTGAAGACACGGACACAGTCGAGGATCGCAGACACGAGTGGCACGTCTTCGGCGGTGAAGAGACCACAAATTGGGTCCGGAATTGCGAGTGGCGAGGAGTCCACTGCTGGCGGCGCCGGTAGTTTGCAGACAAAGGGGTCGACCACACCGGCCACTGACGAGTCGAGCGGTCGGGCGGTTTGGTCGCACTCGAGGGTGAGATCGGCGGCCGAGTCGACAGCACTGACGGACAGCGCGCTTAAGAGACGTCAGGAGGCGGACGACGAGCGTTGGCAGCGGCTGTTGGCCTCACAGGAGGGCGAGAAGCGGGCCGTCGAGAAGCGACGGATACTTATCGAGCAGTCGGTGACCGAAAAGAAGATGAAGAGTCAGGAGATGGCTGTGCGGGCGGCGGAGCTCCGGGAGGCCAACAAACGGCGCGATACAAATGGCCTGAAAGAGCAGCAGAAACGCGAGGAAAGGGAGCGCAAGCGAGAAGGGGAGCACCGGGAGCTATTGAGACGCATACAGGAGGAGCGCGAAGTGGAGGCCAAGGAGTTGGAGGCGAAGTAGCGCCGGGCGTATGAGTTGCACCGCAAACACGACGCGGAAAGGGAGCGACAGAAGGGACGGGAGATGAGGGCTGCGCGCAACCGACGCCACAACAGAAGTCTGCGGCAGAAAGCGATGGCCAACGCGTACATCAAGAAGTGTGAGCCCACGGCCACTGTCACCACAGCTACCAGTGCTAGCAAT